AGACAGCCTCTTCCCAATATGCGTTTTTGCAATTTACATATATGCAAAAACGCATAAAAAGTGAAACTAATCGGCAACGGTTTCCTTCGCTGGCAGAAATTCAGTAAAAAATTAATTCGAAATGTTTCTGCTCAAAGCCAAGAAGAAAGCCCAGCACTCCAAATTCAGAAAGTAAGCAGCTAGCGCCACTATCACGCGTATAAATTTTCCGTAATGAGCAAAGCTTAAAACACTTTGAAGCCCACTTGATAATCAACGGCGCTTTCAGGAAGTTTTGGTCGGTAATCTGAGCCGGATTCATCACTGAATTTGAAGATGCGCCATCAGCTGATGATGCACTCGAAACCGAACCACCGGGAGACTGCTGAACGAGCAACGGTGAGGAATGCTTCGGGATTTCAAGCTGCAGAACACGCTCCGACTCACACACTGATCCTTCATTTCGATCCTTGAAAAAATAAACTTAATAAATAATCTGATAAATAATGCTTTCTTTGGGGCAAAGCAAGGATCTTCCCCTTGCCGTCTTACTCTGGATCGACACTCTGTGTAAACTACTTTATCGAAGACAAGATCACGAGAGCATTGTACAGTAAGGGAAACATTTAACTGCCCGTAAAAATTTATGCCTCACAAGGATAAACTGCAGTGAACTTACGGAATTGCGCAAAACGACATGAGATGAAACCGATCGTGACTCATCCACTGGTGATAACTCCTTTTTCTCGGACGAGATACCTCCAGTCATGTCCGGCTCACAAGTCACCGAAAACCTTCAGAACAAAAAAAATTAGGATCACATTTATTTCTAGCATAACATTACGTGAGAAAAAGGCTGTACCGTATTGCGAATTCTATCACGAATATGTGTGTTGCGGCAGAAGAAGTCTACAGAAATTTTCAAAACAAACAGGGCAACAAGATTATGGTGACTAAGGCTCAAAAACGTTGAAAATCTGAAAGCAATGAGATATCTTAAACCACTTACCGAGGAAGCGATGATGCAGCTGTCACACCTGCCATACTGCTCTTTCTTGGAGTATCTATGGACAAAGCCGACCTCACGTAATCAGCGGAGAAATTAGATGTATCGAGTGAGGAATCCGTCGAAGAGCATGTGGTGTTGAGACAGCCTGTCCCAGTGGTACCACTACTTGATGTGGACAGATTATTCTGGCGCTGTGATGAAAAACGCCGACGAAGTAAAACCGCCTGGAAAGCAGAAACTGATTTTTTGATGCGGAAATGACGGCAGCAGAGAGCTACGAACGCAATTATATGGGAAAAAGAAAGTGCTGCAGTAGTGATAATGACACTATGATTGCATGTTATGACAAACCCAGGCTGAAACGCACCAACCCTGGCAGTGCGATCATGCGTTTTTGCACCAAGCGTGAAGTAATTAGGTTAACTGCATGAATGGTTGTTACTTCACACTTACCTTGTGCGATCAATACCGTAAATCGTAGTAAATTTTTCATAAATTAAAATAATTTCCGTTTTGCGATCGTTTTTATGCGTTTTTTGCAGCTGTGCAATGCAGAAGACGCATATTGACGAAAGGTTGTGTGTGTGTCCGTGTGTGCTTGTGTGTGCGCTGCGTGTCTGTACTGATTTTTCATCTCGAGACCCACAAAAGCTATGGAGCTGAAACTTGATGAACTTAATTTACATGCGTGTACGGGTCACCATCTCCGAAACGGGCGCTCTTACCCGCGTGGTACCGCGTATGGGCCCGCCAAAGTTTTTTCGAGTAAGCTGTTAATTCGGGAACCTGAAAAGCTAGAAGGCTGCAATTTTAAGGGGATGTTTCCCGTCCAAGTAGATATTAATGAGTTCAAAACCAGCTCTCGGTATGCGTGGCACAAATGTGCGGGCCCGTGAAAGTTTTTCGTGGGCAAGTCGCTAACTCGGGAATCAGAAAAGCTAGAAAGCTGAAATTTTACGGGGACATTTCCTACCCATGTAAGTCTTAATGAGCTTTAAACCAGCCCCCGAGTATACGTGGTGCCCACTTACGGGCCGTGAAAGTTTTTTACGGGTAATTCGCTAACTCGGGAACCAGAAAAGTTAGAAGACTGGAATTTTAAGGGGTAGTTCCCCAACCATGTAGGTATTAATGAATTCAAACCCAGCCCCCGGTTATCCATGTACGCGCCCGTGAAAGTTGTTCTCGGGCAAATTGCTAACTTGGAAACCTGAGAATCAAGAAGACTGTAATTTTGAGGAAATGTTCCCCGTCCAAGCAGATTTTAATGAGCTCAAATCCAGCCCTTGGGTATGCGTGATACCCAAATGTGTGCCACGAGGTAAGTTGTTAACTGGAGGACCTGAAAAGCTAGAAGACTGGAATTTTAAGGGTTAGTTCCCCATTCGTGTAGGTATTAATGAGTTCTAACCCAATCCCCGGTTATGTGTCGTTCTCATGTACGGGCCCGTGAAAGTTTTTTTTTTTGGGTAAGCTGCAAACTCGGGAATCTAAGAAGCTAGAGGATTGGAATTTTAAGATCTTCTCCATCCCTGTTTGTATTAATGAGCTCAAACTCAAACACTGAGTATGCGTGGTACCCACGTACCGGCCCGTAAAAATCTTTCACGGGTAAATTGATAACTCGAGAGCTAGGAAAGCTAGAAAGCTGAAAATTTAAGGGGATGTTTCCTGGCAGTCCTGGCGGCCAGTCTTAATTTGTTTAGCTAGAAGCATTTTCCGGAAAAACCGGTGCCGGCAGTGACAAAAACTGCTATGCAAAAAACATCGCCGTACAGGCAGCCGGAGCGTTGGCCAAGTAATTGAAAATGACCCAGCTGTTCAACGAGCAATTCCCCCGCCAAAAAATCTAAGTGTCCGTACACGAGAACCGCGCGCACCTGGAAAGTGAATTTGAAGCCTTTAAATTGTTGGCCAACGCTTTAAGTTGTTGGCCAAGTTGACGGGGATATTTTCCTAAAATTTCAACTTTCCAGCTTTTCTGGTTCCCGAATTAGCAATTATCCCACTAAAACTTTCACGGGGCCGTACGTGAAAAAAGCGCATGCCCGGGAGCTGAATCTGATAACTTTAAATTGCGTATGGGCGAAGAACATCCCTTTAAAATTTCTGCCTCGTAACTTTCCTGGTTTCCAAGTTAGTGATTCTCTCGCCAGGAAGCCTCACGGAGCAATACGTGAGGACTATGTATACTTGTAGGCTGAATTTGAAATCTTTGAGTTCTATGCGTACGGGGGACATATTCTCAAAATTTCAGCTTTCTAGCTTATCTCGGTCCTAAGTTTGCAATTCTCCCGCCAAAACTTTCACGCGCTCGCACACGGAGCCCAGAAGTGCGTGATGGTTGGTAACACGACCCTGGGTGTCAATTGGTCAGGGAACCAACTGGCAAAATTATTTGCTTGGTTGACGAGTTGAAATACCCGGACAGACGAACACACATACAAACACAGACAGGGTAGTTGCAATACGAGTTTTTGCAATTTGCATATATGCAAAAACGCATGAAAAGACCATCCAGGTGCAGGTATGCCGGTGCACTGACGACGCAACTACGGCAAACATAAATCCAAATCGCTCTTAAATTTAAGCGTCATTACGACCAGCGATGACCGCATTTCGAACAGCCGGGTGATAAAAATCTGCATAATCAATGATACAACTAAAACGTCAAGCCTAAGTATCGCAACAGCGCAGTGTCACTATGCTGAACAGAGTGAAGGTGGATGAAAAACATAACCACTGAGGAAAGTAGAGGAGCAAATGGTGGCTGCGACGGCAACTCTGGAACTCTTCGCTCTGCCCGATCGGGAGCCGAACTGCAGTGACCGGGATGGCGGCGAGGGCAGGGGGCAACAGTTTAAGCCTCGAAGGTCGTAATGGAGGGGGATTTGTGAGGTCATTGACTGGAAAGGAGCTGAGAACCCGGTTGGAAGTAGGAACTGGAAAAAAGGCGGGGTTTGTGAGGGGAAACCTCCCATTTCAGAAGCATCCAGAGAGAATGACCAAATTAGGCTGCATCTTTTAAAGCACTACTAGCATTTCGGGAAAACACTGCAAAAATCAAGAAATGCTGAACTAACCGACGGTAACGGGTAGTCGTGCTTGGCATCAAAATCACCAACTATGTGAAGGGGATCCGTATCTGAACGATTTCGTTTCACAGCCTCACCACTTACGACCTGTAAGTACCATACCGTTGATGCATCATCAGAGTAAGTTTGCTAAAGAGCGTTTATATTCACAGTGGGAAAAGCAAGCTCAAAACTATGTAAAACCGAAGATACGGCACCAAG